TCCTGTGCCGCCGTGGCATGCTGGAGGAGGGGAGGGCCCAGGGCGGAGGGCCCTCTGTCCACAACATGTCTGTCACCGAAACCACACTTCACGAGAAGACTCCGGTGCATCTCCCGGTTTCCTGGCCGTAAACGTGAACTATGCCGTCTACTCTCTAATCTGCCGTGTAGGAGGGTGCCATTAGCAGGCTGTACCAAGCTGTGGATTCAGATTCATGCCGTCCAAACGTAAGCTGTGACTCCGGGGAGTTCTCGCGTATAAAATGCGGACGGGGGATCACGGACAAGCAGGCACAGAGAGTGCTGCAGCAGCAGAATTCCATCATGTTCCTAACACCTTTGTCCCTGGTACTATGCCCATGTTTCTTTACACGGGGAGTGGGAGATTACCCAGAGGTGCTCAGTACAGTCACTGAAACCCCTGCAGAGCAATGCCTTTTCTCTGGGCGCGTAGCAGATCCAGAGAGAGGAGAAGTAAGAAGAGACTCTAAGTCCTACTGCTGGCTCTGAAGGTGGAAGGGGCCGAGGTAAGGAATCTGAGCAGCTTCTCACAGCTCAGAGCCAAGGAGAACGCTGGGACGTCAGCCCTAAAGCACAAAGTCTAATTCTGCTAACAGGAGTGAGCCTGGAAGCGGGGTCTTCCTCCGAGCTTCTAGTAAACCCTACCTTGGTCCACACTTCAAGCCTTTTGAGACTCTAAGGAGGGATTCCAGGTAAGCATTTCCCCGCATCTTTCAAACTTTTTTCCCAGGCCCTGTCCTGGGCAGCAGGAAAGGGGCCCCCGCGGAGCAGCGTGGCGGAGCCCGGGCGTGGGCACCTGCTCCCTGGCTTCCGGAAGTGCGCGCCGTCGGGGGACGGCCACCGAGCTGGTGATGTGTGCAGCGAGGACAGAGGTGACACACGCTAGCCGCATCGCACCTTCACACACTGACACCCCACCCCGATGGCACGACGCACGCAGCTAGGGCTTTGGGGGGCAACGGGTTCAGAGGTCTCGGGGTGGGGTCCCGACCCGACAGGCCTGCGGCCTCAGGAGAGAGGACACGTCTCCCCACACAGGAAAGCCACCTACGTGTACAGTGAGACGCAGCTGTCTAATCTAGGACAGAGAGTCCTCACCGCAGCCGAACAGGTGTGGGTCTCCCAGCCTTCAACATCAAGCGAAAACACAACTGTCTAAGCCGCCAGCTCCGTGGTACTCTGTCCCGTCAGGCCAAGCTGCTAACAGAGGGGCGAGGGAGACTCCTCGGAAGCACTGCTTCAGCTGGGGCCTTCTGCTTCTCTGAAGCGGAAGGGAAGTTCTTTCCACATAAAGGACACGTGAGAGAGGCTCAGAGATCCCACGGAAGGACACGGAGCAGGACAGTGCGGCGGGCTGGAACGCAGGCAGAGGCCAGATGCTCAGGCCGCCCAAGGCCACGGAGGGACCAAGGCCAGCGGGACTGAGAAGGCTTTGTTTTTCACCTCAATCCCTTCATTCAGGTCAGAAAACACCTAAATCCAAGTTCCCAAACCTACGTTCCACAGCACGTATTTAGAGGTGTCACATTACGTAACAGGTGCGCTAACTGCGGGGCTCCTTCCGGTCTTTATACGGCTAATACTTCTCCTCAGTCTCCAAAAGGCTACAGTATCCAGACTTGAACAGACAAAGACTGGATCGGGAACCCATTTTCCAAGAGCCCTCTCTCAGGGTCAGGGTTACCAGAGCACATTCTGTGAAATGTAGAATAAACCATCTGCTTTATTGCTTGACCTGCTGGGTTTTTCTTTTCATTTCTTATCAGCACATGTCTGCAGTGCGTACCGCTTCACCGCTTATGGGAGCCAGACCTGGACCCGTGACGTCCCCACTCCTTCCTCGTACCCTTCCTCTCCCCTCCCTCCATCTCCTTCGTGTCTGAGAAAGACCTCCCTCCCTATTTCCTATTATGTTTTTTACTTTGCTCTTTATTTATATTTTGGGTTTTTCATACAACAGAAACCATGGGATATTGAAGCTTCTGCATCTCATTTATTTCCTTTAACATTATAGCCTCAAGGCACATCCACTGTCCTACAGGTGACTCAAGTTTATCTTTCTTTATGGGAGAGTAGTACTCCACTGTACATAAGTGCCACAATTTCCTTAGCTACTGAGGCACCTATAGGCCACTTACAGGAGTTCGCTACTGTATTATAAACTGTGGTACTACAAACACGGATACGCATATGTCACTGTAAAATGACGTCTTTAATTCTTCTGGGAAGATACCTAGAAGGGAAATGGCCTGGGTCAAATGAATTTCTAGTTTAAGTTTTCTGAAGAATCTCCACAGATTTCCACAGTGGTTGTACTAGTCTACACTCCCACCAACAACCATATATTCTAGATATGAGTCTTCTGTCTGAGGACCAGCTGGTACAGACTTCCCTACTCTGCAGGTTGTCTCTTTATTCTGCTGTGCAGAAGCTTTTTAACTTGATTCTATGCCACTTGCTGACCGCTGGCATTATTTCCTGTGCAACAGGGGCGAACAGGGAGCTTGTAAGCTATCAGGAAGTGTAGTTCAGTACCCACACTGGACATTAACAATCTTACACAGAAGGGTGAATGGTAAAAAGGTAGAGAATAATCTAATTCCACTTTCTAAATGCGCCCACGAAGCTCCGGGAGGAGTCAGGATAACCGCCCAAAGGACAGAAGGAAGCCGCGTGGGGAGGAGCCCCCGCCACCTCCCAGCTCTGTGGGCTTAGGCTGGTGCTGCAGCCTTTTTCTTTTTTCATAGTTAGCACAGAATATTTTACTTAAGGACTGTATTGCTGCATCTGGTGTTCAAAGGTATCTGCCTCTGTTCTTCCAGTTATGGCTAAAAACCCAGGGACTACTCAGGGCTGTAACCAAGAGCAATGCGCCTAGATGCACGTCAGGAAGACGACGGAACTCCTGAGAAATACAATGTGGACAGACTACATCAACACACGCTAGGATGGAGGCCAAGCGCCTAGTGCTTTACAGCTACGAGACTCTCAGACTACACCTAGTTTACATTAGGTAAGTCTGTGTGATAAAACTGAAATGAAAGGGTGATTTTCATGCCATGGCAACCAGCTCTTGCCTGACTTTTTATTTGATCTGAAAATGTCTGATTATAATGATATGGATTATAATGATGTATCTGATACAATGGTATGAAAATAATAAGAGATCAAACAAAATACCATGAACTTTCTGCTTTAGAGAAAAGGAATGAGCTTGTCAAGTTAAAAACTCTGCCCAGTAGAGGGCACTGCAGCCCTCTGCAAAGTCCACAGGACTCGGGGAGAAAGAGGTGCTCACAACAAGAGCTGAAGCACAGCCAGCCTCTGTCCGCTATCCCTGGTTCTACTCCACGCAGTCAGCAAAGGTAGGTGGAAAAGCACTCAAAAAAGTGATGGCGTATGTACTAACCTTTCATGGTGTTTAGAAAATTGTCCTTCTCTTTTTCTTTTCTTTTTTTTTTTTTTTTGCAGTACCAGGGATCGAACTCACGACCTTGTGCTTGCCAGGCAGGCGCTTATGCCTCTGAGCTATATCCCCAGCCCTGTCCTTCTTGTCTAAACAATACAGTGACAGTTATTTACCTAGCACGTATAATGTATTATTAGTTTAAGTAACCTAAAGCCGTACCTCGGCATGTAGGTCATACACAAATGTTACCCATTTTACACAAGATTTAAGCATCTATAGATTTTGGGATCTGCAGGGGCTGGATACTAAGGGACAATGGTATTCTAATCCACGAGGAATATTCTGTGCTTAGTGATGTTATCTTTTCAGAAATGCTACACACACTGCCTAACTATGTTCTTGAAAAGACAGCGTAAGAAATATTTATTAAAAAAACAAACCCTGTGGAAAATTCTAGCTCTCTAAAAGTCAAGAACTGTATCATTTCCCGGAGGACAGGTTTCTGCTGTCTGCAGTATTACAACGCTTGCCCTTGTTTTTTTTTTCAGTGTCAGGGTTTGAATTCAGGGCTTATGCAAGCTGCACAAGCACACAAACCCGCCTTTTATTTTTTTTGAGACTTATTAAATACGCTAGCTTTTAAAGGAGTCTACATCCGTTCTCATGTTGTACAAAGCCACAGTGCTGATGCAATTGTGTATGCTTTCTAAGAGTCTTCTGTAGAAATGTGCAGAACAAATGCGGTTGTCAGACGGGGTTCACTGTTAAAAATAACTGCTATTCTACTATCATATCATCGATCCTCTCCTTCTAACAATAAGATGCTGGTTCCAACTTTGAGCAGACATGTAAACTACCATGATGGTCTGTACAGCTACTGACCAAGAATATTTATGCTCTTCATGAGAACAAATTTCAAATACTGGTTTTAAATATATTTTTAAAAACATACAAGTAAGATCTATATAAAATTCACATTTTTGATCTATTATCACTTGTATCACAGGTACATACACTGTACTGAAATCATGATGCTGGCCATAAATTTTTTTTAACAAAAAAATTCAAGTACTTGGAAGTGTTTCAGTAGTAAGTTTACTTCTGGAAATTTTGAAGATACCCAAAAACTTTACTTCCCGGTAACTACTATATGAATACTCAATTCAGCATTCGTATCTATCATTTCTTGCAAATACAAGATGTAAAAAGTTAGCAATTGTTAAAAATAATAATTAAATTAATAAGCCGTCCTGGAGGATTACCACAACTTGTTTGCCACTTAGAAAAGGCATATTCAATGTTTCAGGTTCATAAAAAGGAGAAAGATCGCAAATAAATCAAACAACTCTAAATACAGTAGTTACGGCCCGATTTGCTCAGTCGAATTTAATGATAGGAAGATAGACAGCTTTATTTCTTACTCATTTTTTAAAAAATAAGCTCTACAACTTAGCAACTGTGCCTGAGAACTTCTAAGAGATCCCAGTGTCTGAGGAAGTACTGCCAAAGGCACTGTCTGAAGAACTACAGCCGAAGAGTGTAAATTACTACGGTAATTTTCAAAACATTACCTCCAGAAGTGCAGTTCAAATCCTTCACATTTTTCTTTGCATTTTAAACAGGGGGCTCCAAATCCTTGCTCATGACCTAGGCCCATCTGTTAAAGCAAAAACATGGATCTATTATTATATTTTCAGAAATCTGAAAAATTCAATAAATCGTGCCTTTAATTCCACTTACCGTTCCTGTTGATATAACTTTCAAACAAATCTTTTGTGAACAGCACACTGTTTAGCCAGTGGTGACACCCAGATAGTAAATGGCAGCCCCGGGCACATACACAACATACTTTATGTCCTTATTGCTTTTTATCACGAAAACAAAAGCGCAGGAAAGAACAGTAGGTGCGCTGTGGGGCAGACGTCACCAGAAGTCAGGAATTTATGTCTCTGACCGCTACATGCCCCGGCTATAATAAGCCCAGGGAACACTCAGAAAGCAGAGTTCAGACAGAAGCTTGGCCCTCAGCGATATAGTCTGCAGCAAACAAGGAAATGTATGAAAGGGTTTAGAAATTAAAATTTAAATCATTATTTTACATTATGATCAATACAGTAGCAACGACACGCATTTACTGAAAGCCAGAACTAGCACATCCCTTGTTTCCGCACTAGCATCATACGAAAGTCATACAGTGCTTATAAAGGAGAAAATGTGAAACCCGGAGAGGTGAAAGATCCTGCCTAAGAGCAAAATGGCAGAGAAGCCGGAGATTTAGCTCAGTGGCACAGTGCCCGCCTGGCCAGCTCAAGGACCAGAGTTTGATTCCCGGTACCAAAAAAACCAAACAAAAAAACGCAGAAAAGAGATCTGAACCCAGGACTGTCTGACCACAAGACTTGTGCTCTCACACCTAGGTAAGGGGGTGGGGAGGCTATACTGTTACTCCTGCTATGGTAAAGTGTTCTTTCTCTTGACCATATTAAACAAGTACGCTTGGTAACTCTCTGTGACACGGCCTAACAGGCAGGTGGGCTGGGAGTACAGGTACAGGGCAACGCGAGCTCTTCCACACAACTGCTCAATGACAAGGAGCACCCGGCTCTGCGCTGGCACGTCAGCAAACCACCAGTGAAGAGACTATTCCGTATTTTAAATGTCACGTTAGGGCCGGGGCAAATTAATTACCACTGGAGGAGTAGCTCAAGCTGGCCAAATCTTTTTCAATGGACTCCCGGTAATTTTACCAAATTCTGTTTATCATTATCCTTACGCAACCCAAACCATACTGTATCTCTTCCCCTGAAAGATCATCCTTGAAGCTTAAATGAAGCCACTGTGAGGGCCGGGGATACAGCTCAGCGGCACAGTGCCGGCTGGGCAGGCTCAAGGTCCTGAGTTCGACTCCAGGTACCAAAAAGTAGTAATAATAATAATTAAGAAAAATAAATGAAGCCATTGCTTTTTATCTGACGAAAGTAACCACAGCCTTCTACTATAACGACATATCCCAAACCGGCTGGTGCATCAGCTTGTTTAACAGAATTCGCACTAATTATACATCAGACCCCATCGCAACCATTCCCTCTAATGTATACAGTTCAGTCCAACATTGCTTCATCATCTTCACCATGTCTACATTACCAACTCTAAAAGGAGTTGAACTTCTGTAAATTGTGTTTAACAACAGCATTAAATTTTTCCCCCAGAATCAAACTGCTTCTTGTCACTGACAGTTTACAGCACAGAATACAGTGAGAAAAACGAAAGACAGAGGAAGACTGGTTGAGTTTTCTGCTCTTTTATCAGGAGTGTAACTGAGTTTTCTCAGTAAGATGTTAACAGTAAAAATGAAGAGCAAATCTGAAAGCATGTGCTTTTTCAGCTCATTCCAGTTTTCCCTTATAGGAAAGTTATTAATCCTTAATTTGCCTGGTGTATGGATTTGCTTCCTATCATGTTCTGCGCATCTCCTGCTAAATTCCAGTCCCATGTGAAAATTAAGATTACTTTAATCAGGGGCTGGGGATTTAGCTGAGCTGCAAAAAGCGCCTGCCTGGCAAGCGCAAGGTCGTGAGTTCGGTTCCCGGTACCGGAGAAAAACCAAAAAAAAAAAAAAAAAAAAAAGATTACTTTAATCAGACTTCATCACACAGCCACACAGCTTAGCTTAAATCAATGGCTTCTAAACTCTTACATGAACTGCACAATAAGGAACACTGTAATTCTATCTCCTGACATAGAACTTGCATATACACATAAAACCCTGAGATGCACTGGCTTAGATAGCATCTAGAAATTACTTTTTTCTCTAAATGAAACGGCTACCTATTCAACTTCTGGCCCGTGCTCGAGTCTGAGTTGCCAGTATGAATAACACTGGGTTTAAGAAAATACCACAAACGTACTGGAACAATACCATGTGATCACTATTTCTGATGCATCTCTGAAGTTCCGCCTTAGAACCCTGACTGGTCAGCAGGGTTTTTGTATAAGGCCCTACTGTAACTCACTGCTGACGGACGAGATCAACCTTGCAAAGGGGCAAGCTCGTTCTTTCCTACCCACTTTGCTATATCCTCACGATAGCAGTTTATTTATCAGAATTGCTAGATCTGGTATTTCATGAGTATATGCTATTCTAAATGTTCCATGTATCCTCCCTCCGGACAGGACTAGGCAGCCCTTTCAGGTGAGGGATCAAGAGAATAAAATCCAGACGGGGGAGATTTGCTCCCGGCTGCACCAGTCAAGAGCAAATGTAACCTAAAATTTGATGTCTGGCTTTAAATGCAGACGCCTCCCTGAAGGCCGCTCTAGGAAGGCGAGGCCCTCAAGGCTGGGCAAGCGTGCCGGACAGGGAAGCGTGCACTGAGACCGACAGGAGGAGCGTGACCGGGTGGCCGAGAGGAACCGGACACAGCGGGGTGGAGGGAAGAGAGCCCCTCCCGCGAAGGGGCAGGGAGGCGGCCGAGGGAGCTGCGGAGGGCCCTCGTGGCCAGCAGTCTTGTTTTCCAGCCCTGCAAGAGGAGCGTAAATCTCCTGAAGTATCGGGGTGAGTCTGGGGCCCCGAGGCTTAACACACCCCCCGGGCTGGGAGGACACCGGTAAGGAGGCCCGGAGGGCAGCCACGCGCCCGCGGAGGCAGCCCAGGGAAGCGGGCGCGAGCCTGAGAGCCCTGGGAGCCGGAGGGGTCGGGGGGCTCTGGGTCAGGACCTCGGGCGGAGCAGCCACCTGAGAACCTGGCTCTGCAGCTGACCTTGAGAGCTCAGGAAGCGGGTTCCAGGGTTCTTCCACCCTGCCCGGCCCGAAGGCCAGCTCACTCTCCATGCCTGGTCTCTGCAGCCCGGCTGTGCCTCTGGAGAGAGTGCTCCTCCTAAAAACACACGACTGCATCTTCCTCACTGTGTCCAGAAGAGAGCAGAAAGGAGACGGTGCACATACCCCAGGCAGAGGACGAGTCTCAAGTTAGAACAGAAATCCGGCCCTAGCGAAGCAGAATCCATCGGCACACACGCACAAGGACGTCTCTCTCACGCCACACTGTCGGGTGAGAAACTTCTCCATTGTGATCTCTTTACGCACCTGCTAGGATAAAAAGGCACAACGTGTCCCCAACAGAAAGTGCGGTTCTCACTCTATGCCCTATCCGGGTGATGTGCCCATTTCCGGGCTGAGTTACCACCTGACATGCAGTTGTTACAGCCCACGGAGGTCAAAATGCTGCCTGCAAAGGGTGTGCGAAAGAGTTCTGCTTTATTCCCATCCAAACTGAGGCAGCGGCTAGTCTCCCTCTCACAAGTCAAGCGTGTACCGGACGGAGGAAAACATATTAATTCCACGCTGCAATAAAACGAGTTTGGGGGCCAGAAGCTGTAGGCAGCTTCTCCAGGCCTATTCTTAGACCTTTTTTGGGAAAAATCTCAAGACCTGAGGCAGCCCAACGAGAGCCAGTTCAAGGACCTGGAATTCCATCTGCCCTAAGGGCTCCAACAATGTCTTGCCCTCCCTCATTCTGCGCCCAGGACTTCCTGTTGCCCGGAGTGCAGAGTTCTCTTCAGAACCTCATTTCCCCGCCCGCAGGACTGGCCGCACGCCTGGTGGCTGGGGTCCTCCTCTCCTCGAGGGCCGTCGCTACTATTCTTGGACATCCAAATCTTAGTTCAGTTTCGACCCAGTCACCTGCACTCCAGAATTTTAGTAACAAAAAAGAATAGAGGCGGTGCTATCTGCCCAGGGCTGTGTGGGAGAGGGTGGAGGAGAGGACTCGAACCAGAGAAGCAGCTCCTCCCCGCCTGCAGCGAACTGGCTGCTCAGAGAGAGAGACCCAGGTAACCTGGAGCGACACTTCAGACTCGCGTCTTTGCAGCGACAGTTACGCTGTGAGAATCAGCTGTGTCCGGTATTAACGAGATGAAGAATCACGTGGTTATGAACACCAGAGAACTAGAATGTGGGACGATCACTGAAAGAGAAGCAGGGAAACCGCTCATCTGTGTCAGGGCCCAGGTCAGGGACGTGAGAGGCCAGTTTTCTTTTTCTGGGATTCATTTAGATAATGAAGAAATATAGTTAGATATTCTACAATTATGATTGCAAATCATGTGTAAGAGAAACTTTACTTCAGTTTCTCATTCAGCTTGGTCGAAGTTTAATCAGTTGGTGGAAAATGATTGTTTGAGAAAGTTCACATATTGGTGGTCCTTCTAAGTCAGAATCCCCGGAAATTCAGTTTTGAGGAGCCATCTATAAAGAGCACCTATGACATTAAAAAACAATGAAGTGTCAGTCATACAATTCACCTCTGTTGCACATAATCATTTCTCCAGCAAATATGAATGGTATTCCCCGAAGAGTCAACGCTTTGTGCCTAAAAACACATGTTTTTCATAAACGCACAAGTCCCAAAGCTGTCTGCCTCGTGTAATTTTAGTAACATGTTCTGGCCAGCACCAATACAAGCATATGACAGATTAATTTTTCTTCTTCAGTATCCAAGAAAACAGGTCCTTTGGACTGACTATATTCGGAGAAACGGCAGTCAGGCTTTGTGAATACCTGTCAAGGTCCTCTGAAAAAAGAAAAATGACTCCGTAATATTTATCTTGAAATACTACTTACTCATCAACAAACAGGACTTTTAAAGGAGACCCAAGG